TTTGAGGATTGATTTGTAGTATGGGGATGATGATGGGTTGGATCAAGCTCTTGATGATTTGGGTCTTCTTCTTTGTTGGGATTGTCTTTGTTTGGAGGACCAGAGGGACACCAATGAAGATTTTGAGTGGGAGTTTCTGAGCATGGTGATAGATGTTGATGAAGAGATATTAGTTTCAGCCAAAATCCATTAAGTTTAATCTGAAGAAGTGGGTGAAGACAGAGAATAAACCATGAGGAATCTTGAATGGAAAGTACTTTTAATGGCCAACAACTTGGAGAGGAACCAAGAATTAGAACACAAGGAATCTTACATGAGAGTGGGTTCGGTCTGAGCAGGGGTTGGTTGCCCAAAAATCTAGAATCACGGGTAGTGATTCTTCCTTTGCTTTGCAGGCAACGAAGGGATCGGGGAAAGAGGGTTTTCTAAGCAGGGGATGGTTTCCCAGAAATCTGGAATCAGTAGTAGAGATTCTTCCTCTGCTTTGCATGCAACCAAGGGGTCAGGGAAAGAGGGCTTTTTGAGCAGGGGATGGTTGCCCAGAAATCTAGAATCACCGGTAGTGATTCTTCCTCTACTTTGCTTTCTAAGTTCTGTGAACATGATTTTCCAAACCTTGAGCTTTTCTACCAATGGACTCATACTCCAGTGAGTCGAAGGGCCAAGTTGGAGCCATAATTAAGAAAAAAACTGAAAAGAAAAAAAAAAATACTTAATGCAGAAAATAGGATGGAAGAACCTTTATAAACAACAATACAACATTGTCCATTAAGATCATAACAAAATAAAACCACGCAATCAAAAAAAAAAAAGTTAAAAAGCTTGAAAGATCCATGTGCAATGCAAATCTAATATATGTTGTTGTATACGCCATTATAGCCAATTGTGTCCCCACTCTATTTAGCGGGGTCGAACCATGACATGCTTTGCTAGCGAAATTAGCATGTAGAACTAAAGCCTTTTGTGTAGTTGATCTTACATCTTCAAACCCATGAATAGAAAATTGTTATTTTGATCATGTTCTAGGTTAGCTCAAATCTTCTTGGCCGGAAACTGATGGTTTGATTGGTAAAGAGTTGAATTGGGCCTCAGCTTTCGACCTTGATTCTTAGAAGATTTTCGTTATTGACAATGCCTTGTTTGTCGACTCCAATCCTGACCACTTGTTTCAAGCAATTTAGGAGCATTGGGTTGGAGGAGTGGCCAGTGAATCCGGCTTTGATGAATGGGTTTGTGCAACAAGCAGAAAGCGTGGGTGAAGAAGAAGGAGGAGAAGAATTGGCCCCTCATATTATAAAAAGACAATATATAGCAAAAACAAGACCATGAAAAAAGGTGAAAGTGACTTTTCCACAGAATTCAAGAGTTTTCATAACCAAAACTCCTAACCGAAAATGTTTTCTTAAACATGCCTATAATTTCCTCTTATCACATTGATTTGGAATAAATGGTCATATTCATAAACAATACCCTTCTTAGAGATGGTCTAGTTGAATGCTTGAAGCATAAAATAATTCATATCTATGTGTGTTGTCCCTTTGATTTGAATTGTATGATACATAAAAATTGTGTATTGTGCGTACCAATACTTGAACCTTGGGTGGCTTCTTGTTTCTACGTTCTAAAGAACAGCCATACATTCAGACCAAACAATGAATGGAGCAAATTAAGAATATCAATAAATTTATACCCCTGCATTTGGTAAGCTAAAACCAAAAAATTGTCCACACCGTACAACCTCATACATAGGGCACTGCATCTTTTAAAGATGACAATTCAGAATCGTGATAAATAGAACAATAGAATGATACATCCGTGTATCCAAAATTAAGCAATTGAAAGCAAAATTGCTTATTTGTTTTTACACTCTACAAAAACATGGAAGTCATGCTTATGCAACCTAAATCATCCCAGTCATGTTCAAGTTATCAGCACAAAACTCTTTGTAGTTGGGAATTCTAGATTTGATAGCCCTAGATAGCAAATTGTAGTATAACAAAGTCATACCGGTAATAATGGAGAACAATAGCATCACTTCATACCACCACAAGAATGTACATCATTTCTTCAAAAGGGCTCATGAGAAGATCCTCTTGCAATATGGGTTGGTGCTTAAGATGGATGCATGGGGCCGAATTGCATCAACCAAGGAAGCATGGAGACGACCCTAGTTTTACAAAGATGAATTAAAGAAAAAGGGTAAAGAAATTTTAAAAATATTCATCTCACTCCAAATGCCAATGACTACATAAATATGTAAGTAAATCAACTTGGTAACTCCTAGAGCAAACTAAATGACATAGTTTGCAAATGGGTGCTATAGCAAGTGTTCAAATTGAGGCGACGAGAGCAATTCATGAATGATGTATAACCGCTTCTCCTCTCCAAATACCTTGAGAAATTTTTATACAACATTACTGCTAAATTTTTGTATAGAAACGTGAACATAATTCCCTTCAAACTGAGAACTCAAGTTGGCAGTGGTAGATGGTATCTTCAACTCTAAGATTTTTTTTTTTTTTTGGAAAAAGGTAAAGTAATTTATTCAAAATAAAAGAAAATTACAACAAGAACCAGACCACTAGTTCTGCCTGGGCCCAAAACAAATTACAAGTTCATCCATGTTAGGGGACAGACAGTCGCCAAGTTGAAGGTAGCAATCAATATTGGTTTTGGACGCATTGGCCGGAATTTCCTCCGGTGCTGGCATGGCCGGAAAGACTCACCCCTGGACATCGTTGTTGTGAACGACAGTGGCAGTGTTAAGAATGTAAGAGAAATTACTTTCGGTTCAGCAACTCCAGATCCGATTGCAGAATAACTTTTCGCTTCCTTTTTATATAACTGTCAAGCACCAGATTAAATAAACTTAATTCACTTGTATGATATCTATCGCAGTCATCGCACATTCTCAACTATGATTCAATGCTAGGAACTTTCAAGGCGGAAGTGAAGATTGTGGACAACGAGACCATCTCCATTGATGGCAAGCCGATCAAGGTCGTTTCAAACTAGGATCTTCTCAAGCTACCATGGGCAGATTTGGGAATTGACATCGTTATCGAGGTAACCTTTATTTCCAAATTCAAATCCTTCTTTCACAGATTGCCACATGGAGCAATAAATCCTTTGTCAATCCAGAATATGCACCAGATAAGGTTCAATGTGTTAATTTACTAGCTCTCACAGTCCATACCAGCCCGATGCTAATATGGAAAAGGAGGAATTCCCCAAATTACCTTTACCATCCAAGCAGGTGTTTTCGGTTTGGGCCAAACTGGATGGTTGAACCCGTGACCCGGTGAACATCTCAATTTATTCATTTTGAACAAAATATCAATCACCTAAGGGGCCAACGGCTGATCAGTGTCAAATTCTTCTACATCTGAGCATGATCTTTTGGTTATGCTATGATGCTATCATGGCACCAATAACCAAGATTGATATCACTAATAACATGTTAAACATGCCAGAGGTTAGGTCCATTTCCAGTGCAGCCATCCTAATACCAGCATTGGGTAAGTTTCTTTTGATATGGAGTGAAGTCTAGAGCAGAGATATCTTTGTATATTCAGTTATAGATATTCACCTTTGCATTTTTTGTTACATTCATTTATGCTATGTTTGGTTTGAAAGAAAAGATGGGGAATATTTTAGAAATAAAATTATTCTTTTTTAAACAAGACTAAAATTGTTTCCAATTCTTAGAATCTGTTTTTATCTTTGTTTTGTGATATGGCATATTTCAGAAACAACATAGACAAAAAACATTCATGTTGGATAAAACATCCTTAGTATTTTACATTGGAAATGACCGGTAAATCCTAGCCCAATCTGGACTGGTCCAGCCTGCAACTCAAAAAGGCAATGTTGGGCATTCAAATTATCCTATTTACAAGTTGGGTCAGACCTGGATTCTAGCTTTAGTGTTGCCCCAACACAAGCATGTTTCTGTGAATATAGAAGTAATCAACCCCCTGGGTTACTGCTTTAGTGTTTTGGCTTTGTAGGGGGACTGTTTATGTATGTTGATCTTGATGATACCTAAAGTATAAGACACCTACTATAATGAAGGCTCCAGGAAGAAATTTAAAAGGAATAGAATTCTCAAAATTAGCATACTTGAACATCAATCATCTAGATTGAACATGAGTAGCTTAGAATCTTTAGCTTCTAACTATCAATTGATCCAAGACCTTTCATTACAAGACAGTGCTCATTGCATATCACCATAGCGTATACTAGTCCAAACCCCACGCTCCAGTCTATGTTGAGCAGCCTTAGCAGTGCAAATATGGTATATATAATGACATTATGTTATTTTCATTCCTCAAGCAAATTTATGGATCTATATTCTGATTATTCTTGTGGTTTCAGGCCTGATAGGACTAAGAAGGCTTATGTGAGGTTGACATCGGATTATGATGCACTGGATGTGGCAAACAAGATCGGTATAATCTAAGTTTATATCCATCCTTTGTTACGGATTTGTTTTGATTTAAGAAAATCTAGTGATTTTGAGAGCAGTTTTGTTTGAACTGCCTAGTATATAGATGGAATTATATTTCTTCTATTTTAGCCTTCTTGGTTTAGGATTTTTTTTTTTTCTGCAAATGATATGGTAATTGTATATATACTTTTATGATCTTAGGAAAAATTGGACCATGCTTGTACACTAGGAGTTTCGGTTTGGACATTGGCCTGCTATCAAATTACCCCTATCCTAATTCGATTCGATTCTTGCAGCCTATATTATGGTATAACAATGGATGTGTGCATGTTTTCATTTAGAATTGCAATACATGTTACCTTCATATTGGCACTGCCTTTGTTATGTGATTCTGGTTTTCTCTGAGACTTTAAAAGCAAGTGAAAATCAAATTCTTCAAATTTTTGTGGATCACAGAGACTGTTCCAACAGTTCCATGTGGTACAATTGTGTTACAATTGTTGGCAATTATATTTCACCATATTTGGAACATTTGCATATGGGTTTCTTTGTTGAAGTTGGGCCTGTTCAGATTTTTGTGTCAAACCATGTAAGGTCCTTCCTAATCTTGTTATGACAATGTACTTTTTTTCATTTATTGGTGTCTACATGGATGTCATACACATATGAGACAGAACCTATCCTATCATTTGTTTTTCACTAAACAAATGTACCAAATATTAATCACTACTCGTACAAAAAATGTACCTGCATCCAACCAATTTGTATTGGATTATTCAATATTGGATGGGCATGAATATAGAACTTTATTAGAAAGGAAATGATGGATATCAGGTTGCAATAAAATGGGCATTAAGCCAGTGAATGACCCAATTAATTGATTAAATAGTTCAGTTAAATCTATTGACAGCTATCACCCCACAGAATCATCTGGACTTTAGATACATGTTCATATGGCCCTTACTTTTTCCTTTATTCTATGTTACCTAGATACTTTAAAATTAGCTTAAATCCATGTGGGTAATTAACATTCACTACTTAATTTGCTATCCAATTGCATCAATATTTTGTCATTGCTTGATCTAGGTAACATTGCTTTTATCCACTTATTCTTTAAATAGTTGAGTGATCATTTTTTCCTACTTATTTTATTTTCTATATGTATAATGCTTCTATCTGCTCTTGTATTTTAGTTGATACCGGATGATATGGAGTTTCAATCTAGAGACATGCTAAACTATACGACTTCAGACGAATCTGTATGTTTTAAAGCCCGACTTCCTCTTGCAATAAATGTAATTCATGTAATTTCATTTCACAAATGTTGACTCCAAAACTTTCTCTTGATCTTTTTCAGGTTAAAATTCAAAAAGATAGTGAGGTTCGCTTAAAGAGAGTAGATGCCACAGAAATTGTATGCCCGTTATCTTTTTTATCTTTGAAACAAAAATTCCTTGATAGTGTTTCTTCATAATGAAATCTTAAAAGGTAGTATGTGGGAGGGGGAGCTGTTGCTGTGCAAAAGATTAGGGGTGAGCAAACGGTTTTTTGGTTTAAAACCGAACCAAGTAAACCGAATTTTTAGAAACCGAACTATGAAATGTGGCAACCGAACCGGAACCGAGACCGAATTTAGGTTAAACTGAACAAACCGAACCAAATTTATTTATCGGTTAATTCGGTTTTTTCGATTAAAACCGAAAATTACAAAAATTGACAGAAAATTGCAAAATGAGAGAAGAAAAAGAAAAAAATAAACAATAATAAATATTACATAACTGAGAGTAAGAGACTTCGACAACCGACTTGCTGCTCGCCGTCGCCGTCGCCGTCGCCGTCGCCGTCGCCGTCCCCGGATTATGAGGTTGTTGCTTCGAAGAGAGGAAAGTGAGAAGTGGAAAGACAGTCAGACGCCAGTCGCCTGTCACCAAACACAGAGATTTGGAGAGGAAGACTTACGCCCGTCGAGAAACATTTGCTCACCCCTAATATTAATGGTTTTCCATTGCTCCTTTGGGAACCTCCTTCGGGAGTAAATGCAGAAACCTTTTTCAAGTATGCAATTATTGCTTTCGCCTTTCAGTGCTCCTAAGTGCTAACTAGTGAGAGAGAAGATAAAATAAAAGGACAAATAATCCAGCGGATGATGCTGGGTGTACTAATGGCTTTTCTCTTTGATGGACCCAATTTTTGTAGAGCAACTATATACGTGCATCATGCCATTATCGTTTGTCACTTTGTCCCCTTTTGAAACTTGAAAGATCAATTAAGATGTATTGACGGAAAGGACCCTTGGGGGTATGACAAAAAACATGATAGAGTGATGACGGGACATCCCGCCCACTTAGTCAGACGCCTTAAATGCCTCTCAAGTTTCAATGGTTTTGGCGGGCCTAAACAAATAGGTTTTAGTATAATTACTAATATATCCTTATAATATCGGTTATTTCGATTAAAACCGAAATGTAAAATACTCCAACCGAAAACGAAAACGAAAACGAAAACCGAATATTAAAGAACCAAAATTAAAAATCGAAACCGAACTGAATATCCGAACAAGCCAAACCGAATGCACCGAAACTGAAATTTCGGTTCAGTTATTCGGTTTAAACTGAACTATGCTCACCCCTACAAAAGATCATTCTCACCTTAGATTTGGCTAAACCATTTGATGTGGAGTTCCATTGCTTGGAAACTAACCCATTTGCATGTTCCAGTCTATGTAAACAAATAATAGATTTTTATTAAAATGAACTAGAAGTATTTACAAATGAAGCATCCCTTGGAGAGGAAACAAGCCGTTGTGTCTCCTACATAGCATTATGTTATAATTGAGCCAATACAACTGATTCATGTTAACCCCTTGCTTGGCTAATGTGACAATTAACCCATTTACGGCTTTTGAAGATCATAATACCTATTGTATTTTTAAGTGCATATTTTTTGTAAAATGGTCATTACATTACATGGGAAATAAAAGAACATGGGTAAATGCATTTACCCAAATAAGTCTTTCTCTTTCCTGAGAAACACTTACCCAGGTAAGTGCATTTAGCTAGGTAAATAACTTATCAAAAAATGAACAGGGCCTTTGTGGTATGGTTAATCAACCTCAATAGGGCTACAAAGGGTATCCGATTGTCTGAAATCGAAATTGATCCCCATTATTGTCTCTTTAGTAGGGTTGGTTTGAATGTTGTGTTTTTTGCCAAATTGATCCCCATTATTGTCCCTACACCCACATTGCCAAAGACCTGGCTATTAATTTACAAAAATTATACCTATTTACTTGTTTTTTTTTTCTTTTTGTTGCTTTCCTTTGCAGGTTGTAGAGGAAGAAATGATTGGATGAAGACTACAAACAAATTTATTTTTTGAGATGTTAAAAGGAATTTCTTTTGGAATACTCTATATTTGATTTGTAGGTTGTTAAAAAAAAAAAGACATCTACTCAAAAGGAAGAATGAATATAATGAGGGTTGAATGTTGTGATTTTTTTTTTTTTGTTCTTAAAATGATGATGAAAGTCAATTTGAATTTTATGGATAAGGTGTATCTTTTTGGATTTTATATATATTTTCATACAAGTGTATAAATTAGAATTTTTATGTAGCAATGTTCACAATATGATGTAGCACAATCTGGTCACTCCTAACTGGCACTCACATGACTCCTGGAAGATACCTGAGATGTGGAAGAAGAAGAATCCCCAGGGGGTTACCCGGCGGGAACACTCCGATGCTTAAGTTAGTACTCTGTAGGAGAAGCAAGGAGGAGACGAAGGCTAAGAGTGTAGATAGCGCGAGTATAGAAGATGATACCTCGTTCTTTGAGAATAGGCTCCTTAAAACAGAATTCCGTTGCATCAGGCCCACTGACCTCTGACAAGGCAGGTATAACCACCACTGTCAGCCTGCCGCAGCCGTTGCAGGTAGGGCTGAGGTGACACGCGCGGGGCCGTCATTGCAGGGTACGTACCTGTCAGGTGTAAGGCACCCTCTAAGGTGGCAGGCACGATGCTGTCTGACGAGAGATATGGCTGTTGTCCCCAGATTTGTCGAGTACGGTGGTCGGGCAAGAGGTCTTCTTACGGTATGCCGAACTCCCCTTCTGCGAGTTACCCTATGTCAGGCTATCTCGTAAGCGGCGAGCTGCCCGTGGAAAGCTAAACCGAGCTGTCTGACCCGATGTGTCTTCACCTTGGGGTATTTATAGGCGAATCGGTGTGTTCCTGTTTGGGAGTGGCCCGAGGTCCACTGGGAGGAGCTTGGGTATTTAGAAAAGGTCAGGGGACCCCGAGCTCGGGGGCAACTCGGGGTGCTTTAGCCCCGGGGAGGAGGTGCAGGCCAGGCGTCTCCCGGCGAGTAGTCTATCCTGCCGAGTTGTCTGGCTCAACTCGGTGGGACCCTCCCTCCGAGTTGAGGCTACGCCTGCTGTGCTGTCACGCTGAGTCATCGTTTGAGCAAGGTCACGCCCACGTGTACCCGGGCTACGAGGTCGGGCCAAATCATCCTCAATCACAATATATTGTTGCATTTTTAAAAAAAAAAAAAAAAACTTGGAACCTTTTTAGAGGCAGCCAAAAGTGCCTCTAAATATTAAAGCATACAGATTTTTCCTTTTCTTAGATTTCTTTTAGATGCACATAAAATTGCCATAAAATCCTTTAGAGGCGTTCAAATGCGCCTCTAAATTGAACTTTCAGAGGCACTTTTAATTGCCTCTATATAGGACTTTTAGCATCGGTGAAATAGAGGCAGTCATATGTGCCTCTAAAAGTCCAATTTAGAGGCGGTGTTGATCCAGCGCGGGGAGTTCATATCGCGCCGGGTGGATTTGGCTTCGGTACTCATGCCACTTTGTCACGCGTTTCGCCCAGCTGGACCGGTCTAGATCCCAACTCAGTCAAAAGGGACTCGGATCGCGTCCAATTTACGAGCGGACGTCACGCGATTCGGACGCGGACGCGAAAAAACGCGCTAAACTGATTTCACCTCGAAGAACCCGTAGTCGGTTTTTCTGAAAGCCGTTGGATCGTTTTGATCGTGCTCGTTAATGCTCGGGCGCAGCGGCTATAAATAGTGGGAGGTGGACGCCAGATGAACCGAAGCCGCCCTGAGCCGAGGTACCTACCTCGGGCTCGTCAATTAGGCTATCTACGCTAGACGACATTATGAAGCAAAGGGGGAAGGATACTCAGAAAAGAAAGAGGAGCTCGAGGACTCACCACAGGAAACGCGAACTGACTAGAGGAACGAACTGAGCTAGAAGACCCGAGGTAGGAACCTCAGACGCGAGTTCAACTTTGACGCTGGAGACTTTGTGGCGAAGAGGCTTCAGGACCTCATACAAAGGTTCAACCTCCCTAGGGAATACTCATATAGCCTTCCCACCGGCAACTTTCCATGGGAGCACGGTCCTGACGAGATCGTGATCTTTAGGGAGCAATTGGTAGTCAGACTCCGACTTCCTCTTCACCCTTTGATTGTTGAGGTGCTGGTACACTTTAACATCACTTTGGACCAACTTCACCCGAATTCCATACGGAATGTAGTGGGGTCCATTTCTCTTTGCGTTGACCGTTCTCTCTCCATAGACTTAGATATTCTTAGCACAATTTTGGCCATAAAGAAGAGTGCTTCGGGCACTCTCCCCGGGCACAGACGGTCATACTACCTGTCTCCTCGCCCAGGTTTCAAACTCATACACAAGCTCTCGAGTAAAGTTCCAGCCTGGAAGTGGGACTACTTCGTAGTTCAGAGCGGCACGGGGTGGCCCTTCCCCACTGATTGGAGGATGGCCGTTCAAGACCCTGGTGTCATCCTAGACGGGAAGACCAAGAAGGCGCTCCAATCGCTGGCTCAACTCGGGTTGAATTATAAAGACTTCACATCCGAGGAGAAGCTCATCCAGGCCGACTTGAGCCCGGGTAGGTTTTTCTTCATTTTGACTTTTCTGTTCATATGTTTACTCCGAGGTTACTAACGTCGGGCTTCACTGCAGGTCCTATGGAGGCAGAGAAGATTGACAGTCAACGACTCTTCCATCAAATGAAGAGGAAGAAGCGCATGGCCAAGAAGGCTCGTGTTGAATCTCCGCCAGCCTCCGCCGAGGCTCAACCTTCACAGGCCCTAGCCCCGGAGCCCGAGCTCCCCTGTCCTCACCCCGTCATCAACTTGGAGGAGGACACGGTGCCTCAGGGCCCCGAGGTGGCGGCAAAACCCACGACGGAGCCTACCGAGACCGTCGTCGGGGTGATATGGGAGCTACCCCTGGGGTACGCCCTGCGGGGACAACTGCCAGGGCCTGTCCTGCTGATGCTGTTGCCGAAGCTTCCGAGGAGTCCGCCCATGTGGCGGAGATGACGACGTCTAGCTTGGAGAGCCAGGGGGCAAAAGCATTCTGAGCCCCCGGTGTAGCCAGAAGAGCAAGGAGGTCGTGTACCCGAAAAAGGTCACGGAATGGGC